ACATCAAAATGTTTAAACTCTTACATTTCCAATTGAAATTGCTTTCAGATATGTATGTACCTCAGTGTACAATATACATATGTTCAACTTACCTTTATTCATATTTTTTCAACAAAACCAACAAATTATAAAAAAGTTGGAGATGTTTGCAAAATTTATATTTTACAAAATAATTTGGGGAACTTTTCTAAAAAACGTTTGGAAACCGGATTACTTCAATGTTTATTGGGTTATACCATTTATTTGAATCTTCTTGATTTGCTAAATTTCTAGATATATTTTTTTAAAATTTTCAAACAAATAGTTTATGTTTTTCATTTGTTTCTCTTTTCTTTAGGTTCCCGAAGATGTTCCCGTTGGCTATGTAGTCGGCTCGGTAAGCCCCAATGAACGCATCGACCAGCAAAATATAATCGACAGCAATAGTGATCTCTTTATCACATACACCCTCGCATCACAGGGAAAGGACATAATCGAAGGTGCATTCGACATTGACCGCCATACGGGTTCGCTGGTGGTCGCACGTAAACTAGATCGCGAAACCCAGTCCGAGTTTCGTTTAGAGATACGAGCCTTGGACACAAGCGCTAGCAACAACCCCCAAAGCAGCGCAATCACGGTAAAGGTGGAGATCGCCGACGTAAACGATAATCCGCCCAGATGGTTAAATGATCCCATTCACCTGCAAGTTAGCGAATCTACCGTTATTGGCGCTATAATCTACAACTTTAGTGCTACAGATACGGACTCGGGTAGCAATAGCTACCTTCAATATAAGCTCTTAAGTTACACGCCCCTCAACAACGACAGCAGCGAATCCTTCAGCGAACAAACATCGGCAGAACTCAAAGATGCAGAACCACTATTCTGTATTGATGCGCTAACTGGTGCACTAGCACTGCTTGCCCCACTCGATTATGAGGAGGTACGGAGCTACATACTCATCGTTGAGGCCATGGATCAGCCGTCTAATGTGAGTTCGCGCCTGCGTACCACAGTTACAGCCGTTTTACAGGTGACGGATGTTAATGACAATGCGCCACAGTTTGTGTTTCCTGTTACTATCAGCACACCAGCAGAGCATCGATTCCACATGCCACCCGTCGCCACAATACGAATCAGTGATGCACTGCGCATTGGCGAAACAGTTGCTCATATCGTGGCTGTGGATCGAGATGCGGGCGCGAATGGAGAAATCACCTATGCAATTGTCAGTGGTAACGAGGCGGGATACTTTCAGATGAATTCAAGGGCGGGTTATATTGAGTTAACGAAATTAATACCACCGGTTATGCTGGGTAGCTCTGGCGAAAAACCGGTGACTTCTAGTGTTCAGAGGAACAGTTATAATTTGGTAATAAGCGCCAGTGATAATGGCAAACCAACGGCTCGTCAATCGCTGTTGAAGCTACATATTTTAGTGCAAGGAACTAGCAGGAATCCACCACGTTTCCATCAATCAGTGTACTACGCGAACATAACCGAGAACACAGCCAAAGGTACATTTGTGCTGCAAGTGACAGCGAAATCTTTCAACGACAATGGTAAGTTCAAAGATTTCACATTACTATAACATTTAACTATATTAAAGTTATTATGAATCAGAGCAAGCAACCGAAGAAAACACCGTGTGACAAAAACCCAAACATCTCAAAACCCACAAAAAATCAATGTAGGCTCCTAATTTGACAATAGCTGTCAGATGTACCTAAAAAGTAGCTTACGATTTTTTTACTTTTTTATTATTTTCAGACAATTGGTAACAAATTTATACATTATTTGCATTAAGAAGAAAGTCACTAATATATCAGTACAGTTGAATTAATATTCATAACAATTCAATAAATATATATGTATGAGCATTGGGGTGCTCCACAAAAAAAAAAAGTCGGAATTTTAATGCACTCACCCTCTAGGATAGTACAATACCGAAAAAAGTAGGTTTTGTTTGGGAATGAAAATTTTTTTGGGGGTCGCTCAAAGCACTCAAAGCTTTCCATGTACTTTATATGTCGAAAAAATAAGTTTTCGTATAAAACGACGTATCGAAAAACTTTGTTTCTCTTATAGGTCCCCTAAAACCCCTCACAAAATGCAATGGGGGCCCATAAATATCGCTTGTATTTAAAAATGGTAAAATAAACTATCGGAAGCAACGTTTTTCGATCAAAATAATATTGATTTTCAAGAATTCTATACCATTTTACTCAAAATTTGACTTATTTATCCATCGTTGCAAGCTAAATTATTAATTTAAGGAACTTAGCCACTTTGCTTAGATTTCTTGTTGCCACAATAACATGTTCAAAATTATATATGAGTTGCCATTTTTCTTTGTTTACAAAAATTTTCGTACATTTTTTTTGCGAGCAACATAGCCTTTGATATTTATATTTATTTGGCTATCGTCTAATTGTCCCTAAATTGAGCTCAGTGTACCGAATGTACCTTTTGGTTCGAAAAAGTCGGAGAAGGGTATAATTATATATAATAATAATTGTACCTAATTTTCCATTCCTGCTCTGACGTCAGAAGTTGTTTTAAAAGTAGTTTGGAAATTCGAAGATGTGATTAGTTCAAAATATTGTTTAAAAAGTTCGATGCAATGTGGTATAGCAATACGGGTATCAAATAAAAGATAAAAGTCTGTATACATAATTGAAAATAACTATATCTTTTGTTGGACAAGGTCGAAGTGGTATTGAAGATAAAGTTAGAAGGGCGAAATTGGAGTATGTTGTAGTATACATATTAGTCCTGAACATCTATTTTTCCAAATATAATTATGGGAAATTTTCAAGTATATTGAAGGATAAAGTTTTAAGAGGACTTTTTCAATACCTATTCGTTCTTTTGGGCCAACAAATTTAGTTGTTTCAAATTCTAAAGAATTTTCTATTTTTTTATACCCATATTGTTATTTAATATTGCACTGACCTTGTTAAGTCATTTTCGGTAACAATCAGGGGGGTTGGACAAAACATGTTTTTTCAAGACGAAAACATCGCGTTTTATTCAAAGAACAGGAAAAAACTATTTGAACAAGTTTTTGTAAATGTTTTAATTTACATGTTTTATATACTTATATATATAAAAACTCGTTTAAAACAGTTTAATAATTCAATACTTTCCAAATTAAGGGTGAGATACATACATCCTTGGACGCTCGTTCACATACTATATCGAAAATAGTAGTTATATTTCATGACCTGAGTGGAAGATCGAACTATCCAGTCCGAACTAGCCAGTTCGAAAATGCCCTATTTCAGAAAAATTTTCAAGAACGCCCTATTTCAGAATTTGGTTGAAGATCTTCCTATCTCAGTATTCGGTTCAAAAACTCGCTTTCTCAGCTGCTGATTCAAAAACGCCCTTTCTCCCTTTCAATACATTTTCATTTGAGATAGGACATTTTTAAACGGAATTCTGAGATAGGCACACGGCAATAAGTCAAATTTGTGTTATTTCCCAATTGAAAGTGAATTAACACAAATTTACTTGATTTGTTTCTGTAGTGTTATTGCGCTTTGTACCACGATTTGTTTGTTAGGAAAAATGGGTTATTCACATCCCGTAAACTCTTGTTGCTAATCCATTCCCTTATTCAACCAACTACTTCAAGTGCAGCTGATTTGCCGCTATTTAAACCTGACAGCGTGGTTGTTATTGTTAATTCCATACATTAAAAGGATCCATTGTATAGTTTTAGGCAGGCTCGTCCCAAACTATTTATTTATTTATTTAATGTCTTATAACTATTCAGAACAGACATTTAAGAAGTTAATATAATATGAATAAGAAAAAATAAAAATACAGCAAGTACAATTGAAATTATTTAGATACTAACAAAAGAAATATTTTAATTGTTAATTGAAATTCACAAATTTGCATTAAAATAAATAATTAATAATACATGGCAATAATATTAAAACGTGTGTGATGTATTAATTTAAGTTATTACATAGAAAATAGTTTTTTAGTAGCGTTTGAAATAAATGTTTGGTACCAGAGAGGTTCAAATCGATAAAATTAGAGAGATAATTAAACTCAGACATCGACTGTCTTACAAAAGCCAACACGAAAAACCTTAGTACGACAAAAATTTCTGCATGGAATATTGAAGCGTATCCCTTCTAGAAAAACGGGCATTCAAATTTGCCGTTGACAAGACCAAAGATAAATGAAATTTTATAGTGGCGCATGGGCGTCGCCAGGGGGGGCTGATATATAAAAAAAATCCCTCGAAAATTTTATTTCGAAATTTTAATGTAGCTGATTGATTAATCCTTATTAATACATATGTGTAAACTAAATGGTTCCATTTGAAAAGGCAATCTAAACCAATAGCTAAATATAAATTTATGGTGATTTCGTTTCTTCCAAAAAATGTTGCCCTTCCCCGGTGCAAAATGTGTTTGATGTTACATTAAACCCTGTAAAAAGACATGTTTTTGCCTTCTTGTCCTTGTCTAGCTCACACATTTCATTAAGTTGTCGTTTTAAACATCCATATAATTTTCAGTTCAACCGTCTCCCCTGATAAAGCTTCACAGGGCAGAGAGTGCGGCATTTTAAGAAACGAACACACAATTTTCTCACCCTTTGCCTTTAATTTAGAATCGAGCACGAAAAGAGAAAGGGGTAATGAAAAGGCAAAATTTTTTGGTAAAAACGAAATCACCATTATTTTAGTAAGTAGAGTGGAGTACTAAACTTACATTTTATTGACTTGTTTTCATACAAATAAAAGAATATTAATCGGAAATCGACTCCTGACTGGAAGCTCGACCTATTTCAGCAGCCAGTTCCAAAACACCGTATTTCAGAAAACTTTTCAAAAACGGCTTATTTAAGAATTTGGTTAAAAAATTCCCCATCTCAGAATTTTACTGAAGACCGCCCTAACTCAGAATTCGGCTCAAAACCACCCTATCTCAGCACATATTCAATATATTTCCATTTAAGATAGGGCGTTTTTCAACCGAATTCTGAAATAGGGCGTTCTTAAACCAAATTCTAGGTCTTTTTCAATAAAATTCTGAAATAGGGCGTTCTTGAAAAGTTTTCTGAGTTAAGGCGTTTTCGAACTGGCTGCCGAGATAGGTCGATCTTCCACTCAGGTGTCGAAATATAACTACTATTTTCATACCACAAAAATATGTAGAACAGGCGTATAAAAATGATTATATGTGAATTTAATACATATCGTCACCCTTATGACAGAAACATGAATGTGTAAATTTACCGATTTTGAGACACAATGGAAAATAATGTCTAGCAAAGAATTATGTATTTTAAAAGAGCCAAACGCTCTAAGCAAATATAAAGTAATAAAATTATAGTTTAAAAAACTAAAACCTCGCTATTAAAACTTCCATTCATACTGTCACCATGTTACTATAAGAACGGAAGTTTAAAGCAACTCAAATTCATACTGTCATCAGGTATGTAATTGAGAATGGAAATCGCTGCATCTTTTAGGCGCATCAATATTACATAGTTACATCCCGAGCTAATAGAAGCGAGGTAATAATAAAAAGAGACGCACTTTTCTGAGCAAGGAGTCGCGTTTGCCCACCGTTGCCCTATGTTATTCGACGCCCTCTATGCGAATCCGAGGTCTGTTAGCCTCTATCACGTCAAGTTCGAGGTCATTTGAAGGTCAGGTAGGGAAAAACTTTATGAATAAACCTGAAAATTCAATACAATTCTTCTGAATATGGCCTTAACATGATCTGTAGATTACCTTAAAGAATCAAGAGACCCCTATATTCAGAGACAACAAAAACAAAATGTTGTTTTTATTATTATTGAATACATTTTTTGTCCTATTTGTCCCTCAAATTACCTCGAACCTGACCTTATGGAGGTTAACGGACCTCGCACTCGTGTTCATCGAGTTGAACACGCCATATATATGAATTTTCGGGTTAATTTAATTAATTCTTTCCGACTTGATCTTCAAATTACCTCAAACCTGACGCGATGGGGGCTAACAGACGTCAGATTCGCATTTCAGCGCGTCGAATAACATAGGGATATTGAGGTTTGGTGCAAACATTTTTTATTTTAAACCTGTGTTACTTAAAAAGCAGGCTCTCGGTTGCTCAGCACACCGGTTAATCGTTTCTGCAATTATTTTTTCACATTGGTTCTCTAAAACGAAATTTCGATGTATGCTTAAGATTAGTGTTGGGCAGTATCGATACCAAATGTACTGAGAACTCGATTCTCATTCCCAAGACAGCCGGTTCTACGTACCGGAATGACTCGGGTTTTACCCGACCAAGGGCTGTTGTTTCGGCGACCTAACCCCGCTTAAATCGGCGATACCCTACAATCATTGTTCGTCCATGGAGCAACTCCTTGCAGCCGGATTGCTCCGCATCCTTCTTCTCCGGGCGGGCGTAGAGCCCAACCCCGGACCAGAAACGTATTTCTGCTGTGTTTGCCAGAATCGACTCCATCCAAACTCCACTTCGGTTAGGTGCAACTCATGCAACGGATGGAGTCACCTAAGAACCTGCTCTGGTCTTAGGTCTCA